ACCAAAAATCTTGCTATTGCATTCCATACATACATATCTAGACATTCATCATTATATGTAAAATAATTGAAATCTAAATTTTTGTTATAAAAAAAAAACATTGTCGTACTATTTACTGTTGTAGGGTTTCTAAAAAAAATATATAAAATCTGATAATTTTGAATTTTGCAAATTGAAATCTAAATTTTGGTTATAAAAAAAACACTGTCGTAGTATTTACTGTTGTAGGGTTTCTAAAAAAAAATATATAAAATCTGATAATTTTGAATTTTGTACATTTAAACGATTCGGTGAATAATGAATTTGAAGCGAAATTGGTGCCTGTGGTATCTCGACAAATAGAACTGCCGTTCCTTGTTAGTGATCACTGGGATCATTATCTGTATATAGTCCAGTAGAATGTTCAAATTTATCTAACTTAAAAAAATATTTATGTATTACATTTACATATGTATTTAATCTGCCCAGCGACCGAAAATTCAAATTATTCTAGGGTCGCCAATGTTCGAAATTCGACAAATAGAAAATACAATATATTAACAATGTTAATAGTATTTAAATTTTATTGAAGAATTTGAACAAAATGTGAACAAAGTAACCCAAATTATTTTTAAAGAATATCTCAATCTTCTAGAAGACACCCTGACGGGTAGTGTCGGATTCACACGATGCGCCTACCGACTACAACCTTTCCACACTGGTTACCAACCAAATATGAATCTATTTCGATGGAGAAAAATTCAGTTGAAGGGGAAATAGGCCCCAAAGAAATCTGACGCTGAAACGAGAATTTTTATTAATATGGAGCGAAGGGATTTGTCAGAATGCTTGACCTTCTGAACCGGTCGGTTTTCTTGTTCCTAAGAGCGGCAAGACAGTAGATGCTGGGATTTGCGTGGGACGTTACTGACGCGTGGAGATTTGCAGAGTAGGATACTGCAGAACGAATGGAGGGGAGATTTATATCCGCTAGAATTTGTGAGTTTCTAACAAACCAAGGGAAATTCAGTGCTGATCTAAGCAGACGCCTTCAAGCTTCGACAGTTTTCGAGGCAAGGCAGCCTTTGTTCGCCGAAACCGCAATTATTGCGGAAACCGTATTGGAAGTCGGGAAAAACTTTCTCTTCTGTGAAAACTTCTTTAATCGGGAGAGAATTAGGCTTTGCTGAAGGTGCAAACCATGCTGATGGGGCGGAGATTTACTGGGTCGTTTAGGGCTCTACCCGGTTTGGGAAGGAAGATGACTGTGGCGGCTTTCCATGCGGAGGGAAAATACTGAAACCGCAATATGGCCTTTGTGATGTTGCATAGGGCGACAAAGTGTTTGTTAGGGATGATTTTTAGAACGCCGTTACCAATACCATCATGGCCTGCGGTTTCCTGATTTTTGAGGAAACGGAAGGTCGAGCCCTGGATCGGCTTCTATCTTGCGATTTCGGGATGTTCGGCTTCAGTGATGAAGGATCAGAAATCTTCAGAGCTCTTTTGGAGGTCAAGAACCTTTATCTCTCTTAGGATGGAATTTAAGGGGTTGCGTAGTCGGGGGTGCCTGTGCTTTTGCCAGAGTTTGCGAGTCTTGTTCTTTTTGGACGAGGTGGCAGATCTGAACGAGCTTTAAATTTCCTCTGTGAGATCCTCCGTGACCGCCACATCAATGAGAGTACGGAGTTTCTAGAAGAAAATGTAAAAGGAAGTCGATTTTGGTGTTAAACCGAGGTGAAAGTAGAAAGCCATTCGTGAGCTCCAGGTAGACCGAAGTGTGGTATGAACTGGGCTCCGGGAGAGTCCAGAGGTCTCTGTTGATTGTCGTGTTTTTTGGTGAGAACTAGGTCGAAAATACTTGCTTGGGACCATTGGAGGGGTGGTAAGTCGTCTCGCCGCTTCGACGTTGAAATTGTGTTGGACAGACATTTTTCAGAGGGTTAGCGCGTTCGCAGAGCAAATCCCGGTCTTGTTCCTAGAGTTAAAATCCACGCGATGATGGTGGTAGTGGTAGCGTCGAAGAGGGATGGGATGGCGAAAAAGTTTCAATCTGGGGCGATGCAAGCCGAAATAATTCTGTGCGTGCGTGAATGCCTAAGGCCTCAAGAGTTGAGGGGCCAAGGTTGGCAACTAGATGGCGGATGGAGTTCCTCACACAGATGGCGGCACCATCCCCATTTGTTTCTGTAAGCTGTGAAGTTCGGGATGTACATGGATTTATTGGCGTTAAGATGAGTCTCAGTGATAAAAGCGGCATCGATCTACTTATCTTCGAGTAGCTGGATGAGATCGGTTCTTTTTGGAGTTGCAGTTAAAGATTTTCAAGCCAAGGTTACACGTGGAAGAAAGTGGACTGTTCACAGATGAAGCTCAGAAAAAGCTTCCGTATCTGTGGAGGGATGTTTACCGAAGTGCTTGGATTTCCGGCCACCTCGGTGTAGATGCGGAGAGGTCTTTGGGATTGTGGTTGTGGAATGGGCTGTGCCAGAGGCTTTTTGCGGAAGAGCCTTAAGGGTGTTGGGGGTTGGCTTTTTAGAGGGCTAGAACTAGGCTGTGTGTTGAATGTTGTTTGTCTAATGACTGTCTGTATGTATTTCTCTATTAATAAGGCTGTGTCTGTTACACTTATTCACATAAAGTGCGTTTAACTGAGCTGGTACGTTGTCGGGGCGCCATCACAACTCGGACTCGTATAACTAAACCAATGTATATATTAGCTATTAGTATACACGCTAACATGAAGCGGTTGTGAATTATAGGGCTAAATGCTACTCAACAAAAGACATCGGCAGCACGCTTGTATTGCTATGAAACCTACCCAAAAAAATTCACAGTGTGTACGTATGGATGTGTGTACTCTGTACTCAACTCACTGTTTTTGTTAGCATAAACAACAACAGTTCAACACTCGCGTGAGTACAGTGTACTAGGGAGACGATAGCATACAAGCAGAGAAAGTTGATATTTATGAATTGTTCAGTACTGATAATTATAATTATAATTTATACAAATTCTATACCAGTGACAGACTAAAAAGTTTGCATTGTTTTAAAGAAGAACTAATTTTTTGCCAATAATAAATAAATCCCATAAATTTTCAACAATTATCCGATAAAATGCAAATACATGTGTATGTGACTTGTTCAGAACAGCGACGAAATGTGCTTAAGTATACTATTGTGCTAAGTGTTAAAGAGAAATAGAAAGAAGTGCAAAGGAGAAATAACATTGAGTAATGAAAATGCGCCACCGCGCTTGTAGTTGTTGTAGTCGCTAAATTTGGGTCAATGTATTTCGTTTTCCTGTTGACGTACATGCAAAAAATAAGGTTGTGCATTTCTACACGTCTTCTCCTTTCCAAAGGTATACATTTTATCTATATATGTTAGCGGGAACATACTCAAAAAGGAAACACAAACTTTTTTTGTTAGCGTAATTGCATATAGATATACACATATACATATGTGATAACTGAAATACTTCCCTTGCCTTGGATCCTTACGAATTGCCGATAAAAAACGTTCGGTTACACCCAAAATTAGAGTATTGATTCTTGCAAATTTTTAGCTAATATATTATATTACCACGTAAAAAAATTTCTTATTTAATCGTCTTCATGATGGATTTACTTGCCAAGAAAGACTGAAAGTGTTACATAATCATAAGTTTGTATGTGTGTACGCAGGTGTAATTACAATACATCATATTTTTAAAAGATCTGTGTACTTTTTATACTCTCGCAACCTGTTGCTACAGAGTATAATAGTTTTGTTCACCTAACGGTTGTTTGTATCACCTAAAATTAATCGAGTTAGATATAGGGTTATATATATATAAATCATCCGGATGAAGAGACGAGTTGAAATCCGGGTGACTGTCTGTCCGTCCGTCCGTCTGTCCGTCCGTCCGTCCGTGCAAGCTATAACTTGAGTAAAAATTGAGATATCTTTATGAAACTTGGTAGACATGTTTCATGGTACCGTGAGACGGTTGGTATTGCAGATGGGCGTAATCGGACCACTGCCACGCCCACAAAACGCCATTAATCAAAAACAAATAACTTGCCATAACTAAGCTCCGCAATAAGATACAAGGCTTTTATTTGGTACACAGGATCACATTAGGGAGGGGCATCTGCAGTTAAAATTTTTTTTTAAAAAGTGGGCGTGGTCCCGCCTCTAATAGGTTTAATGTGCATATCTCCTAAACCGCTAATGCTATAATAACAAAATTCACTGGAAGCAAATGTTTTTAGCACTTCTATTGACGGTGTGAAAATAGTTGAAATCGGGTGGCAACTCCGCCCACTCCCCATATAATGGTACTGTTAAAAACTACTAAAAGCGCGATAAATCAAGCACTAAACACGCCAGAGACATTAAATTTTATCTCTGAGATGGTATGAGATGACTTTATAGGAACCGCGTTCAAAATTAGACAGTGGGCGTGGCACAGCCCACTTTTAGGTGAAAACCCATATCTTGAGATCTGCTCAACCGATTTCAACCAAATTCGGTGCATAACGTTCTTTTCATGTTTCTATGTCATAGTGCGAAAATGGGCGAAATCGGACTACAACCACGCTTACTTCCCATGTAACACCATTTTCAATTCCATCTGATTCTTTCACATTCCACTATGCAAATCAGGTAAAAATGATTATATCGGGGTAAAACTTTGCGTGAATAATGCAATTAAAGTATGCCACCTTGCGGCCAAAAATTGTCTAAATCGAACCAAAACTGTTCAAACCCCTAAGTACTAAATATGTGGACCCCAGTGCCTATAGTTGACCTTCTACCGAAAATATCAGTCAATCCACAAAGAAATCTCAAACGAGTATACCATTTGACCTTGCGAGAGTATAAAATGTTCGGTTACATCCGAACTTAGCCCTTCCTTACTTGTTAATGTTATGTTAGTAGTTTACGTAATTTTAAGAAAAAAATGTATATATGTACATACGTATATGCATACATTTTTTCAATAACTAATAAATTATTTTTTTTATCTCCTAGGACGAATAGGCACTGTGGTTGGATGGGGGCGTACTAATGAAGGTGGTGAATTGCCAGCAATCGTTAACCAGGTGAAAGTGCCTATAATGTCCATTACAGAATGTCGAAACCAAAAGTATAAAAGCACTAGGATAACATCCAGTATGTTGTGTGCTGGAAGACCTAATATGGATTCATGTCAAGGAGACAGCGGTGGCCCCCTTCTTCTTTCAAATGGGATAAAGTATTTTATTGTTGGTGTAGTTTCTTGGGGCGTTGGCTGCGGTAGAGATGGATATCCGGGTGTTTACACCAGAGTTAGTAAATTTATACCATGGATAAAATCAAATTTACATGATAGTTGCTTGTGCTCTTGATAAAAAATTATATACATACATATGTGTAAAAATTTATAGCATGTTCAAATATAATATATAAAAAAATATGTTGTGTTATATATACTACATAATAAAGGTCATCAAATTAATCTTAGTCATTTGAGGTGTAAATGTTTGGTTTTTTAATTGTAAATTACTATCACTTTATGTAACACTACATATATAATATATTGATTGCTGTTGTGTTCATGAAAGGCTTCTGCGCACAGGTATAGGTAAACTAGCGCAAGGAATAGCCATATACAATATCAACCATTGATCACCATCTTTATTAATAAAGGAATTAGTCATAAAATGTGAATGAATATATTATTCAAAAAGAAGGTAATAGGTTTGGAAAACGAAGAACTGATTTTGCCGAATATTCAAACAAATTAAAAAACCAAAAAATGAATCTGTCTTAACCCCGTAGCTCTGGCATGAGACTCTTATTGTTAATAATGAAAAAGTCGAAAAATTATTAAATATTTATTTACAAGGGCTGAGAAATTTCATATCCCAAAATATGTGGTTTTAGATGGTCTTTGCGGTTTGAATCATCCTTCTCTTGCTACCTTCCCTGTTAATAATAATAACCCAACGATTACCCTCCTCCCGCCCGACCGGGGCGCAATCCGCATACGTGCGGAATTAGCCGAGTCAGAAAAGGCAAGAGAGCTTTTTAAGTGTTGAGATCTAAAACTGGTCAGCTACAGAAACAAAAATTTCAACAGCCAAGATTTAATGTTACAATATAATAAATTGTTACATTTTCATTTATTAAGAGAAAACAATAAAGTATTTTTAATTTTGAAAAGTGATTCAGATAAGGCAAATGTGCTGGAATGAGAATTAAAATCATGACATATACGGCGGAATGACTCGTTTACTTCAAAATTTGATCTACAGGATTTTAGCAGTAAATGTCTAAACTGCCTCGAAAAGCGAATCGGGATATTAAATTTAATTGCAGACAGGAGAAAAGAACTGCAAACTGTTCCATTCAAGATTTTCACTAAGAATATTATGCCAAGCATTTCCCTACGACTAGAAAGTGTAGGTAGATTAATAAGTTTTAAACGACTAGTGTATGGAGGTAGACTTACCCTAGAATCCCATCGGAAATGCGCTAAGGCGAAAAGTAAAAATTGTTTTTGAACAGACTCTAACTTGTCAGAATGGATTTAGTAGTTAGGGTTCCATACAAGCCATATTCCAATATAGATCTAACCAAAGTTGTATAAAGTGTTTTAGTAATATACGGATCTCTAAATTCTTTAGACCAACGTTTAACAAAACTGAGGACAGCTTTTGCTTTCAAGACCATGGTGTCAATATGAAGACAAAAATTAAGCTTAGTGTCCATATTAACTCCTAAGTCAACATAGTTAAAAACTTGCTCTAGAAACTAACTGCGGAAGTTGCGGTAATTGGCGGTCGCATAGGAGTTGGCAACTCTTGATCATCATACACAAGCGCACTGTTGCAATCAGTATGAAAAATACCTAGCAGCACCAGTTTAGTTTTTTTTAAGTTAACGGCCACTTCCACCTGTTCAATTATGTTAGTTACGTCGCTAATATTAATTTGAGGTAGTTCCGTCGACTGTTGGCTCAAGAAAGTTCATTACAGAAAATTCCTTATTCCGAGGAGCTTCTCCAACCAAACCACAACGATATGTAAGGTGGTATCTACTTACCTGTCTTTACTATAAGCGTGCAATGATCTTATATGAAGGTCAATCAGTCTCTTTAACGTGTTCAAATAGAAGGAGAAAAGAGTCTGATGCGTTTAAACTCCTTGGACCAGAATGTGTCCCAGTATGATGCAATTCCCACACATGGAGTTCAGCCAGCTTTACTTTACACCTTGACTACCAGTTTTGATTGCGCTAAAATAATGCCATTCGGCCGAGGAGACTTGAAGCATTAAAACGAGTTAGTTGGTCTAATCAGATGACCTCATTCCATAGGTCTGTGAAGGCTGCGCAATCCGAGGAAGATCACTCAAGACTAGGTTTCCATCAGGATTTTAATATAGCCCTTATACCCGAAATATTGGTATATATGGGTCAATAAGTTATTAACAAAATGTATTCGCTTTTTATCTTTTTCCTCTGTCTGTAACCGATGGCCCCATTTGTTTGGTAAGTTCTTGTTTGCATTTTTTGAGAAATTTTACCATAGCAATTTACATTTAATATAATATTATACCTACATATTATATATATTTTTTATACCATCAGAAAGTAGAGATTGCAACGAAGAAAACACTTACCGATCTTTTTGTTTTTTAAAAAAGAGATATTTTGACGTGAGAGTTTTTGATTGAAAATTAGGGTTTTTTGATATGATGAAATAAAAACAAAACTCTCAATCAATCAATTTATATATCTTTTGTTGTATACAATATCATATCATGTGATCTTATATTATGAACAGTTTTAATCTTATACATATTTTAAGCTAATTAAAAACTTTTTGTAAGAAGTGTGGCCAACTTTTTTATATCATTTTTTAATACTTCAACTAGGAAGTCATTTGCACAATCAGTTCATTCTCATTTTATGACACTTTTATTATCTTCACCTTTTTATATGTTTGAATGTTTGTTTTTCTATTCTATGCAAGCGATAATTTGAGTATAAATTGAGATATCTTGATGAAACTTGCTACATATGTTCCTTGGCACCCAAGAAGGATCAGTACTGCAGATGGGCGTAATCAAACTACTTCCACCCCCAAAAAACATCATTAAAAGAAAACCTATAGAGTGTCATACCTAACATAATAAAGATACCGAACTGTAATTTGGCACAGGGGATCACGGGTATAAGAAACATCTATTGGCTGAAAGGTCAATCAACAGAAATTGCCCTACACGAGATAGTAAATGTAATTGAAAAGTCATTTCACCTCAAGCAATTTACAATGGCTACCTTTCTGGATACAGAAGGAGCTTTTAACAACACAGAAGTAAGCACAATCACCTAGTCTCTGACACCGAACGGCATAGACGACACGGTGGGCAGATGCCTTCAATCGATGCTTATGAACAGAATTATTATAGCATCAGACGGTTCAGTGCGAACAAGCTATGTAAGGAGAGGGACTCCTAAAGGAGGTTTACTACTCCAACTCAGCGGAGGAGGAGTGAAAGCAGTAGCTTATGCAGACGATATAGTGTTAATGGTATCAGGGCTGTTTCCTTCCACAATCAATGATATTATGGAAAGTGCCTTAGGGCTTACACCTATGGGCCGCGAATTACGGACTAGATGTAAACACCAGTAAAATGGAACTGATAGTATTCACGAATAAAACCAAAATACATCAATTTCAGCTCCTCACATTCGGTGGTACTACAATTTCTCTGTCCCCAACCTCAAAATATTTGGGGGTTTCTGCAATCGAAATAAAAAAATACTGTTTTTGGTACAAAATATATTTTTTTATTCAATAGGGAGATTACCTTTAACTTCAATACACTTATTCCAATAATTCTCCAATAATATTATGCCATCCCTACAATGACTTTCCGGAAGCTCTGCAAAACACCCGTCTATGGCTGTAATAGCTTCTTCATTCGACGAAAAACACTTTCCACGAAGAATTTGTTTCAAGTTTCTGAAGAGGTAGTAGTCGCTAGGAACTAAAACTGGTGAATACGGTGAGTGCTCAAGCAATTCGTAGTTTCATTCGTTGAATTTTATCATTGTTAAAACACTTTTGTGAGCAGGAGCATTGTTTTGATGAAAAATTATTTTTTTGTAGTGCAAACCAGGGATTTTATCACGAATTTTTTCATCCAGGTAATCCAAAAGGCTGCAATAATATTCAGAAGTGATTGGTTTACCTTTCTGCAGATAATCTTTTTGCATCCCAAAAAACTAATGCCATAACCTTTTTTCTGATCGTTGTGACTTCGTCTGCTTTGGAGCTGAACAACCAATATTTCAGCTTGGCTTGGGGATAGTCCCGCCCCTAAATAGTCAAAGGTGCATATCTTCCAATCCACTGAAGCTATCACAACTAAACTTGCTGAGAAGAAGTATTTTTAGTATTTCTTTATACACTGTGAAAATGGGTAAATAACCACGTCCTATTCCCATATAACGGTTATGTTGAAGGTGCGAGAGCTCGCTAAATAAATGCGCCATAAGTATTAAATTTTTCAAACAAGATGTTAGGGAAGAGCTTTACAGGAGGATGTGTAAATATTGGAAAATGGACGTGGCACCACCAATCTTTAGGTGAAACCCTAGATTTCAGGAGCTATCGAACAAATTTCTACATAATTTGGTATGTGAGGTCACAAAGCCCCATCATACTGTGAAAATAAGCGAAATCGTACAACGACTATAAAACTACCAACACATCCTTAAAGAAAGTGAAAACACCACAAGTGGCTAAATAATAAGTATGGGTTAAAATACTTAAAAGACACAATACAATAATACACGTATTTTTTTGTCAATATTTCTGCCAGTTTATATAAGGAATTATTTTAAACTTTTTAGTTCAGTCTTCGACTAAATCTCGTGCCGATAAGACGTCTGTTTTGAATCGGAGTTCTCTTGATTAGTTAGTTTCTTCTCACCCCACTTCTTAGTGTGTTGAATATTTTCTTTAGTTATTTTTCTTTCTCGCCTATCACATACGCATAGTTGTTGTTAAAGTAAACGTGCAAAATGGGCCGTAGGCCACGAATTCGCGAAGCTAATCGTTTCGCAATACTCGATACCGGTCAAACAAAAAGAAAAAAGAAAAGTGATCTCGAAATAAGTGCACCCTTATCTGCATTCCCTTTGCTCCCTGAAACCAAAATCGTTGACCCAAAATTCATAATAATTAGTACAACCGACCCATTAAAACCCCTTTCATTCTACTCCTGTTTCGCTATACACCGTGCCATCCAGCAGATCAGCAGCCAAGTGCACTCAATAACCTTCCTACGTGATGGAAAATTACTTCTTCTAGTAAAAAGCAGTGAAATCTCAT